TGTGTGTGTGTGTGTGTGTGTGTGTGTGTGTGTGTGTGTGTGTGCGTGTGTGCGTGTTTGTGCGTGTGTGCGTGTGTGTGCGTGTGTGCGTGTGTGCGTGAGTGCGTGTGTGTGCGAGTGTGTGTGTGTGTGTGTGTTTCGGGCTGTGAAATCTGTGTGGGGGTGGAGGGTGGGGGTTGGGATGGAGGGTGGGAGTGGAGGGTGGGGGTGGAGGGTGGGGGTGGAGGGTGGGGGTGGAGGGTGGAGGGTGGAGGGTGGGGGTGGAGGGTGGGGGTGGAGGGGTGGAGGGTGGAGGGTGGAGGGTGGAGGGTGGGGGTGGAGGGTGGGGTGGAGGGTGTGGGGGGTGGAGGGTGGGGGGTGGAGGGTGGGGGTGGAGGGTGGGGGTGGAGGGTGGAGGGTGGAGGGTGGGGGTGGAGGGTGGGGGTGGAGGGTGGGGGTGGAGGGTGGGGGGGTGGAGGGTGGGGGGTGGAGGGTGGAGGGTGGAGGGTGGGGGTGGAGATAAACGTCGCCAGTAGAGCTGCCAGGTAACTGCATTTTTGTTTGGTTGCTGTTTCGCCCCCCTCCCCCCTAATGACGTGGTAAAGCTTTAGACAGAGCGAACATAGCTCGGTAAAGCTCTACTCTAAGTGAAACATAGCTTGGTAAAGCTCTACTCTAAGTGAAACATAGCTTGGTAAAGCTCTACTCTAAGTGAAACATAGCTTGGTAAAGCTCTACTCTAAGTGAAACATAGCTTGGTAAAGCTCTACTCTAAGTGAAACATAGCTTGGTAAAGCTCTACTCTAAGTGAAACATAGCTTGGTAAAGCTCTACTCTAAGTGAAATATAGCTTGGTAAAGCTCTACTCTAAGTGAAACATAGCTTCGTAAAGCTCTACTCTAAGTGAAACATAGCTTGGTAAAGCTCTACTCTAAGTGAAACATAGCTTGGTAAAGCTCTACTCTAAGTGAAATATAGCTTGGTAAAGCTCTACTCTAAGTGAAACATAGCTTGGTAAAGCTCTACTCAAAGTGGAACATAGCTTGGTAAAGCTCTACTCTAAGTGAAACATAGCTTGGTAAAGCTCTACTTTAAGTGAAACATAGCTTGGTAAAGCTTTACTCTAAGTGGAACATAGCTTGGTAAAGCTCTTCTCTGAGTGAACCGTGGCTTGGTAAAGCTCTACCCTGAGTGAAACATTGCTTGGTAAAGCTCTACTCTGAGTGAAACATAGCTTGGTAAAGCTCTACTCTAAGTGAAACATAGCTTGGTAAAGCTCTACTCTAAGTGAAACATAGCTTGGTAAAGCTTTACTCTAAGTGGAACATAGCTTGGTAAAGCTCTACTCTAAATGAAACATAGCTTGGTAAAGCTTTACTCTAAGTGGGACATAGCTTGGTAAAGCTCTACTCTGAGTGAAACATAGCTTGGTAAAGCTCTACTCTGAGTGAAACATAGCTTGGTAAAGCTCTACTCTAAGTGAAACATAGCTTGGTAAAGCTCTACTCTAAGTGAAACATAGCTTGGTAAAGCTCTACTCTAAGTGAAACATAGCTTGGTAAAGCTTTACTCTAAGTGAAACATAGCTTGGTAAAGCTTTACTCTAAGTGAAACATAGCTTGGTAAAGCTCTACTCTAAGTGAAACATAGCTTGGTAAAGCTCTACTCTAAGTGAAACATAGCTTGGTAAAGCTCTACTCTGAGTGAAACATAGCTTGGCAAAGCTCTACTCTGAGTGAAACATAGCTTGGTAAAGCTCTACTCTGAGTGAAACATAGCTTGGTAAAGCTCTACTCTGAGTGAAACATAGCTTGGTAAAGCACTATTCTGAGTGAAACATAGCTTGGTAAAGCTCTATTCTGAGTGAAACATGGTTTGGTAAAGCTCTACTCTGAGTGAAACATAGCTTGGTAAAGCTCTACTCTGAGTGAAACATAGCTTGGTAAAGCTCTACTCTGAGTGAAACATGGCTTGGTAAAGCTCTACTCTGAGTGAAACATGGCTTGGTAAAGCTCTACTCTGAGTGAAACATAGCTTGGTAAAGCTCTACTCTAAGTGAAGCATAGCTTGGTAAAGCTCTACTCTAAGTGAAACATAGCTTGGCAAAGCTCTACTCTGAGTGAAACATAGCTTGGTAAAGCTCTACTCTAATTAAAACATAGCTTGGTAAAGCTCTACTCTAAGTGAAATATAGCTTGGTAAAGCTCTTCTCTGAGTGAAACATAGCTTGGTAAAGCTCTACTCTGAGTGAAACATAGCTTGGTAAAGCTCTACTCTGAGTGAAACATGGCTTGGTAAAGCTCTACTCTGAGTGAAACATAGCTTGGTAAAGCTCTACTCTAAGTGAAACATGGCTTGGTAAAGCTCTTCTCTGAGTGAAACATAGCTTGGTAAAGCTCTACTCTGAGTGAAACATAGCTTGGTAAAGCTCTACTCTGAGTGAAACATGGCTTGGTAAAGCTCTACTCTGAGTGAAACATTGCTTGGTAAAGCTCTACTCCAAGTGAAACATAGCATGGCAAAGCTCTACTCTAAGTGAAACATAGCTTGGTAAAGCTCTACTCTGAGTGAAATATAGCTTGGTAAAGCTCTACTCTGAGTGAAACATAGCTTGGTAAAGCTCTACTCTGAGTGAAACATAGCTTGGTAAAGCTGTACTCTGAGTGAAACATGGCTTGATAAAGCTCTACTCTGAGTGAAACATAGCTTGGTAAAGCTCTACTCTGAGTGAAACATGGCTTGGTAAAGCTGTACTCTGAGTGAAACATGGCTTGGTAAAGCTCTACTCTGAGTGAAACATAGCTTGGTAAAGCTCTACTCTGAGTGAAACATAGCTTAGTAAAGCTCTACTTTGAGTGAAACATGGCTTGGTAAAGCTCTACTCTGAGTGAAACATAGCTTAGTAAAGCTCTACTCTGAGTGAAACAGGGCTTGATAAAGCTCTACTCTGAGTGAAACATAGCTTGGTAAAGCTCTACTCTGAGTGAAACATAGCTTGGTAAAGCTCTACTTTGAGTGAAACATGGCTTGGTAAAGCTCTACTCTGAGTGAAACATGGCTTGGTAAAGCTCTACTCTGAGTGAAACATAGCTTGGTAAAGCTCTACTCTGAGTGAAACATAGCTTAGTAAAGCTCTACTCTGAGTGAAACAGGGCTTGGTAAAGCTCTACTCTGAGTGAAACAGGGCTTGGTAAAGCTCTACTCTGAGTGAAACATAGCTTGGTAAAGCTCTACTCTGAGTGAAACATAGCTTAGTAAAGCTCTACTCTGAGTGAAACATAGCTTGGTAAAGCTCTACTCTGAGTGAAACAAAACTTGATAAAGCTCTACTCTGAGTGAAACATAGCTTGGTAAAGCTCTACTCTGAGTGAAACATAGCTTGGTAAAGCTCTACTCTGAGTGAAACATAGCTTAGTAAAGCTCTACTCTGAGTGAAACAGGGCTTGGTAAAGCTCTACTCTGAGTGAAACATAGCTTGGTAAAGCTCTACTCTGAGTGAAACATAGCTTGGTAAAGCTCTACTCTGAGTGAAACATAGCTTGGTAAAAGCTCTACTCTGAGTGAAACATAGCTTGGTAAAGCTCTACTCTGAGTGAAACATGGCTTGGTAAAGCTCTACTCTGAGTGAAACATAGCTTGGTAAAGCTCTACTCTGAGTGAAACATAGCTTGATAAAGCTCTACTCTGAGTGAAACATGGCTTGGTAAAGCTCTACTCTGAGTGAAACATGGCTTGGTAAAGCTCTACTCAGAGTGAAACATGGCTTGGTAAAGCTCTACTCAGAGTGAAACATGGCTTGGTAAAGCTCTACTCAGAGTGAAACATGGCTTGGTAAAGCTCTACTTAGAGTGAAACATGGCTTGGTAAAGCTCTACTCTGAGTGAAACATGGCTTGGTAAAGCTCTACTTTGAGTGAAACATAGCTTGGTAGAAACCAACAATGAGTGAAATTTTGGCCCATGAAAAGTTCGTTGAGAAGGGAGAGAGAGAGAGAGAGAGAGAGAGAGAGAGAGAGAGAGAGAGAGAGAGAGAGAGAGAGAGAGAGAGAGAGAGAGAGAGAGAGAGAGAGAGAGAGAGAGGAGGGTGAGAGGTTTATACAGTGTGTGTTGAGAGACCAGAAGCTCTTGCCACAATATTATGACACTGGCTGCCCACTTGTATGTAACCTGTTGAGCAATGATGGTGTGTTGATCCACACTGTCTGTCTGCCACACTCTCTGCCACACTGCCGCTCTCTGCCACACTGTCTGCTACACTGTCTGCTACACTGTCTCTCACATTACCACACTCTCCACCACCTTTTATACCTGATTATATATATGCAAATATATATATATATATATATTATATATATATTATATATATATATTTTATATATATATATATATATATATATATATTATATATATATATATATTATATATATATTATTTATAATAAAATAATGATGTCTCTTTTAGCCATGAAACAATCTGGAGGGATCCGTCTCGATGCCCCGAATCTGGAGTTCTTGAAGGTAATATTATGGCCCTCTTTACTTTGGGTTTGGTAATTTTAAGTGTATGTGTGTGTGTGTGTGTGTGTGTGTGTGTGTGTGTGTGTGTGTGTGTGTGTGTGTGTGTGTGTGTGTGTGTGTGTGTGTGTGTGTGTGTGTGTGTGTGTGTGCTGTGTGTGTGTTGTGTGTGTGTGTGTGTGTGTTTGTTTGCGTTTGTGTCCAGTGAGCTATCTACTCATCTTCCGGTTTCTCTGTTTCCTCATTTAACAAATATTTCTCCCCTTTCTCTCACATATTCTTCTTTATTCTTACCTGACAGTAAACATCAGGTTTCAGTACGCTCCCTAGAGGTCGCGTTATGTTCCAGGAGATCCCAAAAGGTTTCTGAATGGTTCAGTAATTCTCAATAAGTTCTGGTAGCCTACACAAATTCAGTAGGTTCTAGCATGTTTCAGCCCCTCCTGACATGTTCCAGAATGCATCAGTAACTTCCAGGAAATCAGAAGGCACTCCAGCACCTATTAACATGTTCCAGGATGCTTCAGTAGCTTCTAGGGAGTTACAGGACATTAAAGCATTTATTGACATGTTCCAGGATGCTTCGGTAGCTTCCAGGGAGTCACAGGACATTAAAACACCTACTGACATGTTCCAGAATGCATCAGTAGCTTCTAGGAAGTCACAGAACATTAAATCACCTACTGATATGTTCCAGGATGCATCAATAGCTTCTAGGAAGTCCAGGGGGGACTTTGAAAGCATATTGAAAGGGGTTCCAGGTTTGCATCTTAGCTTCCGGGAAGTCACAAGAACTCCAGCCCCTTTACAAAATTATGTTCCGGGGGATGCATCAATAGCTTCCGGGAAAGTCACAAGACCTCCAGTACCTGTTGGGACATTTTCCCCACTTTATCCAAATGAAAAAATATTAGTTTAGGTAGGCTCCAGCATCCCTTCTGATTGTGACGGGCAAATCTCCCAAAATATAAAAATTCACTGGCCTCCCGGTCCCGGCGCCCGGGTTTTCGGACCACGTCGCGAGAGCGGGAAAAAGGCGGCCCGTCTTCGCCTTCCGGGAAAGGGAAAACCCTTAGGATAGAGGGAATTTTTTTTTAAAAGTTATGGGGGTTTAAGTTTCGTGTAGTGTTTATAAAGAGCAAAGAAATGAAAATTGTTAGTTTTTCCCCAGTTTTTAAAATCGATATTTTTCACCTTTCCCGGGGTTTTTAAAAAATTTGGGAAAAATACTGAAGGGGTTTTTAAAGCGACATTTTGGAGGAGGGGGGTTAAAGAAAGGGAAGAAAAAGGGAAGAAGAAGAAGAAAGAAAAAAAGAAAAAGAAAAAAAGAAGAAGAAGAAGAAAAAAAAGAAGAAAGAAAGAAAAAAAAAAAATAAAGGGAAAAAAAAGAAGAAGAAAAAAAGAAAGAAGAAGAAAAAGAAAAAAAACAACAACAACAAAAAAAAACAACAAACAACAAACAACAAAAAACAAAAAAAAAAACAACAACAACAACAACAACAAACAACAAAAACCCACAAAAAACCAAACAAAACAACAACAACAACAAAAAACAACAAAACAACAAAACAACAAACAGCAAAAAACCAAACAACTACAACAACAACAGAAAAAAACAAAAAACAACAAAAGGAAAAAAACAATGAAACAATGGAGGATAATGTATGGCAAAAAAGAGAACGGGAAAAAAAAAAAGGGAGGAAATGGAGAAAGGGCAGAGGAGGGGGGAGGTTGGTTTGAGTGTATACCCTTCGGGGTGATTTGTACGGGTTTTGGGGGTTGGGCTGGTGGGGGCGCGTTTTTGCCCCGTCAATGGAAACCAGTTGCCATCTGTCAGTTTGGTCCCGGGAAAAGGGTTTGCCGCAATTAAATAAAGGAAAAATAGTGGGACAAATTTGAGCCTTCACCCTTAAAAACCCCCCGGGGGTTCCCCATGTAAAAAAAAACCCGGGTTTCACCCAGGGATACCCCCCGGGGGTTTCACTCATGTTTTCCCCCCGGGGGTTTCACCCTTAAAAAAACCCCAGGGGGTTTTTTTTTCCCCCCATGTATCCCAAACCCGGGGTTAAACCCATGTATACCACCCGGGGTTCACCTATGTTAACCCCCCGGGGTTCCCCCATTTTTAAAACCCCCCCGGGGGTTCACCAATGTAAACCCCCCCGGGGGTTCCCCTAGGGTATACCCCCCGGGGGGGTTCCCCATGTATACCCCCCCGGGGGTTTTAAACCCATGTTTTCCCCCGGGGGTTCACCTATGTATACCCCCCGGGGGTTCACCCAGAAACCCCCCGGGGGTTCCCACCCATGTATCCCCCCGGGGTTCACCCATGTTTTACCCCCCGGGGGTTCCCACCCAAAGTATACCCCCCGGGGGTTTTCCCCATGTATACCACCCAGGGTTCACCCTGAAATACCCCCCGGGGGGTTCACCCTTTGTATACCACCCGGGGTTAAACCCATGTTACCACCCGGGGTTTCCCCCAAAGGTTAACCAAGGGGGTTTCACCCTTGTATACCCCCCGGGGGTTTTCCCCCCAATGAAAATACCCCCCGGGGGTTAAACCCCATGAAAACCCACCCGGGGTTAAACCCAGGTATACCCCCCGGGGGTTCCCCAACCATGTATACCCCCCGGGGGTTAAACCCATGAAATACCCCCCGGGGGTTACCCATAAATACCACCCGGGGTTAAACCCAGTATACCCCCCGGGGTTCACCCCATGAAAATACCCCCCGGGGGTTCCCCCAAAGGGTTTTCCCCCCCCCGGGGTTCCCCCATGTATCCCACCCGGGGTTCACCCCATTTTATACCACCCGGGGTTCCCCCAATTTTAACCCCCCGGGTTTAACCCATGTATACCAACCGGGGTTCACCCATGATCCCACCCGGGGTTCCACCCAATTTTATACCCCCCCTTTTTTCCCCCTTGTAAAACCCCCCCGGGGTTCCCCCCATGTATACCCCCCCGGGGTTCCCCCATGTAAACCCCCGGGGTTCACCCTGTATACCCCCCCGGGGGTTTTAAACCCATGTTTAACCCCCCGGGGGTTCCCTATGTATACCACCCGGGGTTCACCTAGGTATCCCAAACCCGGGGTTCCCCCATGTATACCCCCCCGGGGTTTTCACCCATGTATACCCCCCCCGGGGTTCCCCCATGTATACCCCCCGGGGGTTTTCCCCCTTGTTTACCACCCGGGGTTCACTCATGTATACCACCCCGGGGTTCCCTAAAAAAACCCAACCCGGGGTTTCACCCATGAAAACCCCCGGGGGGTTCACCTAGTATCCCAAACCCGGGGTTTAAACCTATGTAAACCCCCCGGGGGTTCCCCCCATGTATACCACCCGGGGTTCACCCATGTAAAACCACCCGGGAAAATCCATGTATACCCCCCGGGGTTCACCCAGGGTATACCCCCCGGGGGTTATCTTTGGTAAACCCCCCCGGGGTTCACCAATGTATACCCCCCGGGGGGTTCACCCATGTATACCCCCCGGGGGTTCCCCATGTATACCCCCCGGGGGTTTAAACCCATTTTATCCCCACCCGGGGTTCCCCTTTATGTATACCACCCGGGGTTAAACCCTTGTATCCCACCCGGGGTTCCCCCAATGAAAACCCCCGGGGGTTTTCAACCCATGTATACCACCCGGGGTTCACCCATGTATCCCAAAACCCGGGGGTTAAAACCCATGTAAACCCCCCGGGGGTTCACCCATGTATACCCCCCGGGGTTCACCCATTATACCCCCCCGGGGTTAAACCCATGTAAACCCCCGGGGTTCCCCCCATTTTTACCACCCGGGGTTCACTCAGGGTATACCACCAGGGGTTCCCCAAAGTATACCCCCCGGGGGTTCACCCCTTTTTGCCCCCGGGGTTTCACCCTTTGTATACCCCCCCGGGGTTTCACCCTTGTAAACCCCCCCGGGGTTCACCCATGTATACCCCCGGGGTTCACCCAGTATACCCCCCGGGGGGTTCACCTATTTACCCCCCGGGGGTTTCACCTTTTATCCCACCCGGGGGGTTCCCACCCATTTTTAAACCCCCGGGGGGTTCCCCCATGTAAAAACCCACCCGGGGTTCCCCCAGAAAACCAAACCCGGGGCCACCCCTTTGAAAACCCAAACCCAGGGTTCCCCCATGTATACCACCCGGGGTTTCACCCAAAAAATTCCCACCCGGGGGTTTAAACCCATGTTCCCAACCGGGTTAAACCCAGTATCCCAGGGGGGTTTAAACCCATTTTAAACCCCCCGGGGTTTCCCCAAAGTATACCCCCAGGGTTCACCTATTTTATACCCCCCGGGGTTTCACCCTTAAATCCCACCCAGGGTTCCCCCATGATAAAAACCCAAAGGTTCACCCATGTTCCACCCTTTGGTTACCCCCAAAAAACCCCCCAGGGGTTACCATGTTTTCCCCACCCGGGGTTCACCCATGAAATACCCCCCCGGGGTTTAACCCCATGTATCCCCCCGGGGGTTCACCCTGTATACCACCCGGGGTTCCCCCAAAAAAATACCACCCGGGTTCACCCATGTATACCCCCCGGGGGTTCACCCTTGTAAAACCCCCCGGGGTTCACCCAAAGTATACCCCCCGGGGTTCACCCTTTTTTCCCAAAGGGGTTTCCCCCAAATGTATACCCCCCGGGGGTTTCACCCATGTTTTCCCCCCCCGGGGTTAAATCCATGTATACCCCCGGGGGGGTTCCCCAAATGTAAACCCCCCGGGGGTTTCCCCCCATGAAAACCCCCCGGGGTTTAAACCCTTTTAAACCCCACCCGGGTTCACCCATGTATACCACCCGGGGTTCCCAAATGTAAACCACCCGGGGTTTAACCCATGTAAAACCCGGGGGGTTTTAAAACCCGAAATACCCCCCGGGGTTCACCCATTTTATCCCAAAGGGGGGTTCACTTATGTAAAACCACCGGGGGTTCACCCATGAAAAACCAGGGGGGTTTTCCCCAAGTATACCACCCGGGGTTTCCCCCAAGTATACCCCCCGGGGGTTTCCCCCAGTATCCCACCCGGGGTTTAAAAAAAAAACCCATGTTTTAACACCCGGGGTTCACCCATGAAATACCACCCTTTTTTCCCCCATGTATACCACCCGGGGTTCCCCCCATTTTTAAAACCAGGGGGGTTCCCCCATTTAAAACCCCCCGGGGGTTTTCCCCAAAGTATACCACCCGGGGTTCCCCTTGAAAATACCCCCCCGGGGGTACCCCCCATTAAAACCCCACCCGGGGTTCACCCTGAAAACCACCCGGGGTCACCTAGTATACCCCCCGGGGGTTTTCACCCATTTTATACCCCCGGGGTTCACCCATTTTATACCACCCGGGGTTCACCCTTTAACCCCACCCGGGGTTTCCCCCATGTTTACCACCCGGGGTTCACCCATGTATCCCACCCGGGGTTTTCACCAAATTTTTAACCCCCGGGGTTTCCCCCATTTTAAACCCCCGGGGGGTTCACCCATGTATACCAGGGGGGTTTCCCCCCCAAATGAAACCCCCCCCGGGGGTTTTCACCCATTAACCCCCCGGGGGGGTTTCACCCTTTAAACCCCCCGGGGGTTAAACCCATGTATCCCCACCCGGGGTTCACCCATGTATACCCCCCGGGGTTCCCCCAAAAAGTTTTCCCCCCGGGGTTCACCCATTATACCCCCCGGGGTTCACCCAGGGTTAAACCACCCGGGGTTTTCACCTTGTAAACCACCGGGGTTCCCCCTTTTAC